AACAACAGGAGGACAGTGACAGTGACAATAATCTGTGCATTGGGATAACTGATCTCTCATACCTTACACTCTACAAAAAGACACAAAGCAGCAAATCTAAAAAGATGTTTGACTGTGCTAAGAGCTGTGGAAAAAAAGGTGATGTGGTAGAAAGGGGTTTTATGAAAAGTAGCATAGCACTGCAGAGACATGAAAGTAATATTCCAAGCTATTTTTGGCTCATGTAGGTTTGACGAGTCATTCTGCTATATGTTTGCATATTGCTTCTGAATTATATAACCTTGTACAGAGTTTTTCTGATTCTTAGTATTCTGAAGGCTAACTCTAACTTTAAAAAGAAGCCCCTCCCCATTCTTGTTGTCTACACCTTGCTGCAAAGACTGCGGATCATGCTCGACACAGGCTGTGGTGCTTACTGTGGTGCTGCATCCTGGTTGTGGCACTCACCAAGGTTTGTACTCCTTGAATTGAGGTGCACAAATTATGGCAGCAGTGGTCACTGAGGCTGCACTTGATTTTATTTTTACTGCTTTTTGGTTTGGGGGTGCGCTTTCAGACTGTGGCATGGGCTCATCTCTTTAGTTGTGCTTACCCTGTGGAGTGTGGTCAGAAGTCCTCCTGCAGTGCCAGGGATCACAGACAGCAGAGCTGCGGGGTTTAGGAAGCACGCTTACCAAGACTGCTCAGCACATGTGGTGACTCTAGCCTTGAACTTGTGACCAGACATTTGCAAGGCAGGCATTCTAAGCTACTTTGTTCTTCCTCAGGATGACCTAATTCTAACTTTTTAAAGCTTTTCAGTACCTCCTTAATCAGTATATCCCTTAACTTTAAGAAGCATGTCTTTTAGTTTTTTGCTTTTTGGGTCACACCCGACGATGCACAGGGGTTACTCCTGGCTCTTCACTCAGGAATTACTCCTGGCGGTGCTCGAGGGACCATATGGGATGTTGGGAATCGAACCCGGGTCGGGTGCATGCAAGGCAAACGCCCTACCCGCTATGCTACCACTCCAGCCCCTAAGAAGCATGTCTTCTATTTTTAAAAAGTCACAATAATATTAGCTAATTAGTTGAGGTTATATTTCTGCCAAAACAAATTTGATGAATAACAAAGGATGAAAACAATACTATTACAAATTCCTCTATTACTGGAAAAGCCTAAATGAATTTTCTAAACAATAATTTGTGCAGGGAAAACAGGTTGAAGTAAATTGGCAATATATAACCAATTCAGAATTTGAGGCTGAAGGGAGGATGGAAGATGCGGTGAATCACAGATGTTGATGTAGCAGTAATGAAATTGCCTACCAGATAATTTCAAGGTTAATGGACAAATTATGAATGTGATGAACAAACTGGGGAAACCTTCGCACCACACAAGCTCTTTGCGACATGCTGCCCCCAACTGGGCAACAGGCAACTTTGAAGTATGGGGTGATTTTAGTTATGACTATTAGTTATTTAACAACTACAGCGTTAAAAAAGATACTTTTATTCCATGAAATGCGCATTAGGTCTCTGGTTATCAAAAGAAGAGGAATTTGGTCAGATATGTTTGTGATCCCATTCTGTACTTTCTAAGTTTTTAGTTCCAGATCTGTAAAATGGGTATAAGAACACTATTCAGGCTGTTTAGTTTCAAGTTTAGTCCTAATGAATGTGAAACAACTAGTCCTTCACTTAACTGCAGTAAACAAACACATAAACGTGTCCATTAAGACATTTTCTTTTTGATGGGGCTGGAGCAATAGCACAGCGGGTAGGGCGTTTGCCTTGAGTGCAGCAGACCCGGATTCGATTCTCAGCACAACATTCCATATGGTCCCCTGAGCACCGCCACGGGTAAATCCTGAGTGCAGAGCCAGGAATAACCTGAGCATCGTGGTCGAAACCCAAAAAAGCCAAAAAAAAAAATTTCTTTTTGCATTGTGCATCAATACAAGGGAAAAAAAACTCACAAAATAAAATTAAGGGAAGAAACCAATTCCATACAAATAAGCTAAATAGCTATTGCTGAGAAATCACTGTCACTTTCATCCTGTTGTTTATCGATTTCCTTGAGCAGGCACCAGTAACATTTCCATTCATCATAGCCCTGAGATTTTAGCAAGTGCCACATTCGAGGCTCTTTCAGGGTCGGGAAATGAGACCCATCATTGTTACTGGGTTTTGGCATATCGAATACGCCACGGGGAGCTTTCCAGACTCTGCTGTGCAGGCAAGATACTCTCGGTAGCCTGCCAGGTTCTCCAGGGGCGAGAACTAGACAATAAGAAGTCGCAGGGCCAAGAAATATGCACAAAATATTGAACAGGTACAAAAATTTTCAAAGATCAGTCAAGTTTAATTAGAATAAAATCTTACTCAGATTTTACTCATTCACAATTTAACAAGTCAGTGAAATTAATTTTGTACATTTAAAGAAAAAAGACAAGTAAACAGATGACAAAGACTAGACTTCTCTAAACTTAGAATTTTGCAAGGCTTTGCTTTCATAAATAATTCCATAAGAGCTAATGAGGTTGGTGGTACATTACAGAGACCCTCTTTATCTATATAAAGTTTAGTTAACTTAAAGTTGTATGAGTAAGATTTTCTTTTTTTTTTTTCCTTTGGTTTTGGGGCAACCAGAGGTGCTCAGGGGCTGCTTCTAGCTTCTAGTCCTGAAAGGCAGTTGAAAGAGTGAAATCCAATTAAGGTTCTTTTCAAACAAACAAGACCTTTAAAAAATCCATTATCTGGGGACAGAGATTAGCACAGGGGTTAAGGCCCTTGCAAATGCACCAGTTTGCTGCATATGGTCCCCTAAACACTGTGGAAATGATTCTTGAGACAGAACAAGATATAAGCCCTAAGCCCTAAGCACCACTAGGTGTGGCCTAAACCCAACCCCTCTCCCCGCAAATTTGTTATCCACTAAATTCTTTACTCTGTTGCTGATTAAGATACATTACTTAAAATAAAAATAAAAGGCTAAATTCAGTCCGAGGACAATTTTAAAGTAAAAAAGATGGCCCGTGATCACCTAGTATGCTTTCCATTTGTAGAGAAGAAAACTGATCTAGAGAACAGAGAAGAGCAGAAACAAGATGTATGAATTTCACAACTCACACACTCAAGCTTTACCCTTACGATGGCAGTGCACCATACCTAACCCCATCTCATGGTCACTTCCTGAAGACAATGCAGGTTGCAACAAGGAAGGCTCCACTTGCCCCCAGCTCAGGAACTGAAACTAGGCATGGTCTGTGGTGCACTGCTTCCTTTATGTCATTCCTTCCACACAAAACTTCGACCTGTCTATCAGGGGGTGCAGCAGAGCCACTAACTGGGGAGGAAGTAACTGTGAAAACCATCTCTCTTCCCACTTTAAAAACACACAGAAACCTCAGGGGTTAAGGATGTCAGATCTCATGCACGAAGGTGGATCTCTTTACGCAGGAGACTTGGGTTCCATGGCGCAGCACAGCACAGCCCCACTATCCCAAAATAAACTGATCCTTTCTTGGAGGGACTATTTGGGCAACATGACCCCAAAAAAAAAAAAGTTTACCTTCAGTGCGCAGCACCCAGCGCCTGAAGTTGGCTTTTTCTGGCTTTCTGGCTACCACAGGTGCCCGCGAGGTGGTCCAAGCAAGCACGAGCCTCTGATCCATCATCCAAGTTTTCAAACAAGAAACGAGCAAGAAAACAAGTGCTGCTAACACAACACCCAAGCATCAACACGTGCCCAGCGCGCAGGGTTCGAGATCCTTAGATCGTCTGCTAAAAGCCTGTTCTCTGATAAGTAACAGTCGCTGTCGTTGTACCTAAACGGGCTGTGCATGTCGCAGCTCGCCCCTCCCGAGAACACGCTGGAGCCCCCCCGGCCACTCTCCGCCCAGCCACGGACGCGTCGCTAGGGGCCCCTCGGGCCCGGCGACCCTTCGGGAAACGAGGAGTCCCTCGACAAAAACCCAGACCGCCCCCTCCCCCGCCCTCCCACCGCCGCCGCGGCCCGGGGGCTGCAAGGCCCTTTCGCGGGGACGAGGGTCGGGGCCGAGCCGCGGTCGCCAGAACCGGGAGACCCGAACCCCCGACCGGACGGGCGGGGGGAGGGGGCCGGGCGAGGCCGCGCGCCGGCGTGAACTGGCTGCGAGTGGCCGAGTCCACGCGGGACCCTCACAACGACCCCCACAACTCTTCTGCTGCTGGGGCGGGTCGCGGGCGCCACCGCCGTCCCCGCCCGGGGTGGGGGTCCCCGGCAGAGTCGGGGGGGCGGCCTGGCCGCGGGCGTCCGGAGCTCCCGAAGCGCCGGTGCAGGCTCCACCTGCCGCCCCGCCCCCGGCCACGCCCCGCCCTCGGCTCCGGCCCCGCCCTCGGCCCCGGCCCCCAGCCCCGCCGGAAACTGACCCCCGACTTCCTCGCGCCGGGCCGGGCCGCTTGGTGGGCGGGGCGGGCCCGCCGCCGCTTCCGCCTTCTTGCTTCCGGCCGGCGGTGAGTCGGGGCCGGCCGCGGCGGCGGGGGACGGGCGAGGCCGCGCGGGGCCAGGTGCGGGGAGGCCGGTGGGCGAGGGCGAGGGCGAGGGCCGCGGCGGGGGCGAGCGAGCCGGGGCCACCTCAGCCGGGGGTCGGAGGACGCGGAGACGGGCCCCGCCGGCGCCCCGAGGGGAGCGGGGGGCTCTGGCGGCCGGCGCCGGCGCCCGGACGCCTCGGACCCGCGGGGAGACGCCGTTTTCTCCTGAGGGAGCGGCGACGGGTCCCTCCCCGGGCGGCGGGAGGCGGGCGGGCCTGGTGCTGCGGAGGCTCATTGGTGACTCAGTAACTTAGAGTTGTGCTCACGCTTCTGGAGAGGAAGGGGGTCCTTTAAGCAGGGACCCCCGAGTGTGTGTGAGGAGAAAACGGGGTCTGGTGGGCGTCCTTAGGCACACAGTCAGAGAACCCCCCTATATATATATATATTTTTTCCTTTTCTTTCTGCTTTTGGTGTTGAAGTTCCCTCAGGATACAGCGCCAGCGTCCTCAGCTCAGAGTGTGTCAGGGAGAGTGAAGACCGTACGTCGACTGAAGTAAACAACTTAGGAAGAATACTTGAATTCCAGTCATTAGGATTTATTAAAGAAAAAAAACCAAAACCTCCCCCCTCAGGTGTCTTTAGTCTTCAGCTGAGGAAGTAGATGATGATGTTATGGACCACGTAGCACATTACCTTAGAGATCGTTTGCAAGTTAACTGTACAGAGTTTGGGGAAAGTTGCCGTTTAGAATTGTTATTACAGCAGCTCAGAGAGAAAAGGGAGCACCAAGTAAAGGGTGTTTGGAGGACTCGCTCCAGATGCGAGCCGCGTGCTGAAAGTAGACTACAGACCCAACGGGATGGCCGCTCGACACCTCTATTGCAAACCACAACACCCTAAAGGAAAGAGAGCACAAGGGAATGCCCTGCCAGGAGCAGGGGTGGGGATGGGAGGGATACTGGGATCATTGGGGGTGGAGGATGGGCGCTGGTGGAGGGATGGGTACTCGATCATTGTATAACTCAAACCCAAGCACGAAAGTTTGTAAGTCTACAAGTGTACCTCATGGTGTTTCACTAATAAAAATTAAAAAAAAAATTGTATTACAAAACTGAAAGTCGTCAGTTGAAACTGTTTTTCTTCTGCTTCCCACCTCACCCACCAGGATTTGGGCACCTCTCAGAAGTGCATGGTAGAGCTAAAGAAGAGGCGGCAGCAGAGCCACGGGGCACCTGAGGTTGTGACAGGCTCACGTCATCTTTTACCATAGAGATCACTGAGTTTAAGGTAGATCCCCCAGCTGTGTACCATTTCCTCTCCCAGTGTTCTCATTCTGCACTTTGAATTGAAGTTGACCTAGACAGGAATGGTTGAAGAGTCTTTGGGAGGAAATAGAAAATGTCGTCTAGAGGCACACCCCATGCTTAATATGCCAGGTGGCCCTCCCTCCCCAGCTCTAAATGGAATAAAATGCATTGCACCTGTTAGGGCTATTTTTTCATTGGTTCGAATTTATCTTCATTTATTAATGCCTGTAAGGAGAGCTCCTCAGTGAATGTCACATTTTGATATAGCTCTTTGCTATATTTGTGCATAAATCAAGGCACCCTTACCTCCCTCTCCCTTCTGTATGCTTTTCTTGTGTTTTTTGTGGCTTATTCTTTCAGGCACTCAATTTGATGACTAGTGGTTTTAATTAGTACCTAAAACACTAATGGATACTATTGTTTCTTGGAACGAGTACATAAAATTCAAGATTTTTTTATGTCTTCTGCTAAATATTGTCAAGGATAGGAGGCATGTGAAAATATGTGTCCTTATGACAGGTTACCCATATCTTTTTACTTTTTTAAGTTTCACTTTTTTTTTTGGGGGGGAAGCTCCCAAGTTGCCCTTGGAGTAGGTGTTGGGGGGTGCTAGCTGCTTTCCCACGATCTGGTTAGCCTGAAGGTGTGGTGCTGTTAGGGCCCTGTGGTGCTGGGAATTACCTGGGCCTCCATGGCTGCCTGCTATGTTTGGGGGACCATATATTAGAGTTGGTCATATGTAATAATTTTGTATAACTTAACCCCTATACTATCTCTCCAGCACTAATAATTTTTGGTTGTTGTACTTGAATTATTTTTAACTGGACATACTAGTTCTTGTAAAATACACTATTTTCTTTTTAAAAAACTTGCTAGTGATAATGGAATTCTCAGTTAATTGATTGTCTATATGTTGTAACTTTTTCAAAATTTGATTAAAGACTATCATTTGCCTTGTCTCTCTCCCTTCCCTCTTTCCTAAGACTGCTACAAAGATGTTTGATATCAAGGCTTGGGCTGAGTATGTCGTGGAATGGGCTGCAAAGGATCCTTACGGCTTTCTTACAACAGTTATTTTGGCCCTTACTCCATTGTTTTTAGCAAGTGCAGTATTGTCTTGGAAATTGGCCAAAATGATTGAGGCTAAGGAAAAGGAGCAGAAAAAGAAACAAAAACGGCAAGAAAATATTGCAAAAGCTAAAAGACTGAAAAAAGATTGAAGGAATAAACTGATTCTACAGCCAGAGGGAAATCACTTGGAAAATTATGCAGCTTTGGAAGGACCTACTGATGACTCTTTCCTGGATTTTTTGACACTATTATATAGTAAGTGAAGTTTGAGCATGTGGAAGATCATCGTGTTCTGACCTCCTGTCTGTAGCAATTTTTAGGCTTTGTAGAAGTCATCGTAAATATGCATTTATTATGTCTACAATTTCTTCATAATTGCCTAGTCATCCGCCATATTGTACCTTCTGTACTGACATGAAAACATTCAGCTGATAAAAATGACTTTAGATTATGAACAATATTCAAAGAATGGCTTTAAATGGGTTCCTGTTCTGGACAAAGGAAACTCGTGAAAAATCAGAGCAGGTCTGAGGTGAAAGTATGCTATAACTAAAAACAGAGACAGTTTATTATATCTCTATCATGTTTGCTTATTTCTTCAAATAGAATAATTTCTGGCTTTCGCAAAATAAATATTAATGATTGAGTATTTCTATTTTTTTTTGCATTTTTCTTTGAGATACTAAATAGTAATTATCAAACATGAAAAGTATTTTAAATCTAATTTTATAGAAATTTTCTTATTATCTTGACCATATAGAATACCACCTACTGGATATAATAATTTTTGTACTTAAAAGCACTGCCATTTTCTTAGAGACGACTTTGTTGGGTAGAGTAATATTATGAATTAGAGCTTTCAGGAAAGGGCTTGGGATGTACCTCAGTGGTAGAGCTCTTGATTTGCATGTGTGAGGTCCTAGGTTAAATCCCTAAGGTCCGAAAATTTTTTAAAGATAGAGCTTTCAAGAAAGATGCCAACCAAGCCTTGTATTACCTTGGAGTCAGTTTATTCCTACTTGTGCTAGTTATAGTATTTAAAATATCTTAACAGATTATTGGATAATTTGCTGATTGCATAGTACCTCTTGTTTTTTATACCATTTATTGATATAATTCATGTAGTGGTGATGCCCTTTATTTTTTATCAAATAGATTCATGGACTATACATTTAAAAAATTTACATTTAAAGAATGCTTAAAGAGTAGCAGTTAAGTCATTAATTCATAAGTGGCAAAGTTGGAAATATTTTGCTGTGCAGAATCAATACTTGGGTGAAAAGCTAAATTATGTCAAAGAATAAAGAGCTAAAGGATATGTCCTTTAGTTAAGCAATATAACTTTTTGCTATTAAACATGGTTTTTATATATGCATGGTCTAATTTTTCATGTCAGTATTTAATAGTTTATTAATGTCTTCAGTTCTTGTAATGAATTTTAAATCACAAAAGTTCGACAGTTTTAATTTTAAAATGAAACTATAAATAAATTTGATACTTTTTTTTTAAGTATAAGGAGTTTCTGAGTTTTCTTTTGGGCAAGAATAAATATCCATAACTCAAATTATATTCTTTGAGGTAAGACTTTCAGAGGATTATGATTTTGATTTTTAGCTAATTTTACAGAAGTTGAGTGCAAGTTTATAAAATGTAAGAACCTAAGAAGCTCTGAAAATGCCTATGGACTGGTTTGAACACCTTTTACTATTATTTTGGTATTCAATTCCTGCCTGCCTATTCCAGAAAGTGATAATTCAGTGTTCACTTATGTTATTCAGGTGTTCTAAGATACAATTTTTTTTTATTTTGTTTTGTTTTGGGGCCACAGCCAACAATGCTCAGGGCTTCCTCCTGGTTCTGCACTAGGGAATTACTCATGGCAGCAGTCAAGGTACCATATAGGATGCTGGGGATTGAACCTCAAAGGCAAGTGCCCTATCTTTCCAGCCCTAATATATAATTTCTATAGTGTTGAAATTAAAACCTAAAAATATGTTTATCAATATAACCAAGTCTTATGACTTGCCAGAAATCAAAAACAATGACAAGGGGAAAAGCATATTTAAAAGAACTGGCTTGTAGGTCTGTAGAGCAAGTTAAAGTAGGCTAGGATATATCTAAAATGTGCTTGAATTAATGGAAATAAGTAGTTCATTAAAGGAATGTAAATATATATCGCTTATGGTTACATTTTAAATGTAAGTATGAAGCAGCAGGGAATCTTCTTAATTCTCAGTTATTACCAAAGTAATTTTCATTGTGATAATTGAAAGGCGTTTCTTTAAGAACTTTTACTGCAATTTCTATTAAAGTCTTAACACAAGCCTATATTGTATTCCATAAAAGCCATATCCAGCTTTTCTCAACATTTATGAAGACTTTTTAGACATATGTGGTCAAGGTTTAGAATACTTGTTTTTCTAAAGTAGGAGAGGGACTGGGTAGGGTGTTTGCCTTGCACACGGCCAACCCAGGTTCAGTTCCTCCGCCCCTCTCGGAGAGCCCGGCAAGCTACTGAGAGTATCCCACCCACACGGCAGAGCCTGGCAAGCTCCCCGTGACATATTTGATATGCCAAAAACAGTAACAAGTCTCACAATGGAGACATTATTGGTGCCCGCTCGAGCAAATCGATGAACAACAGGAGGACAGTGCTACAGTGCAGGAGAGGGACTATAAATTAGAAATGATTGTGAGGTTTGGGTTTCTTCAGAAAAATTAGTATTTCTCCATGGCAACAAATAGTAATATATATACCTTGTGTACTATTATCAAGGATACTTGAAAATTACTGATGGTTGTGGGATATGGCTTAAAGACCTGGAGCACATGTTTTGCTGGTGGGGGCTTTGGATTCCATCCCAGCACTACATGGTCCTTTGAGCACTGTTGGGTGTGACCCCCAAACCATCTTTCCCCAACAAAAATCTAATATGTTTTTTAATTTCTGAGGACTAATATATCCATTGCTTTCAGAGACCTTTTTTTTTGGTGGGGGAAAAGGTTTATTGTAATAATTTACTGAAGAAAACTTGTGGGGACCAGAGATGTCTAAGTAGCTCAGAGTTAGAGCCTTTGTTTTGCATTTTTGAAGCTCTGAGTTCAGTCACCAGCACCAAAAAAGTGTGGGTTAATATTTTGATCCGTGATCCCATTTGCTAAAACTTCAGCCTGATTACTGCATTGGATATGCAAGGTGACTTTTTTATTTCTTGAAATTATAGTACTTTGGAAATAAGCTTGGGAAGCTACGAGCTGGAAACCTGATGTTAAGATTAATGAACAACTTTTCACCAGTTTCTCTTTTTCTTTTTTTTTTTAAAAAAAAATGGAGAAGAGTGGCAAAGCAATAGTGTTGGCCTTGTCTGGCTTTACTAGAGGTTTGAGTCTTACCTAGGAGTGATGCTTTTATGTTTGCAGCTGCTTATAGGATCACTCCAATTTACTGTCTATAATAAATGAGGACGGGGCTGGAGCAATAGCACAGTGGGTAGGATGTTTGCCTTGCACACGGCTGACCTGAGTTCGATTCCCAGCATCCCATATGGTCCCCCGAGCATCACCAGGAGCAATTCCTGAGTGCATGAGCCAGGAGTAACCCCAGTGCATCGCCGGGTGTGACCCAAAAAACAAACAAAAAAAAGAATAAATGAGGACAGATTAGGCACATTAGAAGGGATCTCATGTTCAGATACCAAAAGTTTGGGAAGCAAGGTACAACTTTGTATTTATACTTGAATGATTTCATGGAAGTCTATTTGAATCTCTTCACAACAATTTGAGAAAGCCTGGTCTAAAGTTCAGATTATATTTTCAATAGTATGATTAATAAGATATGATTTGAAAACTACAGGAGCTGGACAGTATAGCAGGAAGGGCCGTAGTGCCTTGCATGTAGCATACCTGGGTTCAGTCACCAGCAGCATATATGGTTCCCCCATGCCTGCCAGGAATGATCCCTGAGAGCAGAGCCAGGAGGAAGGCCTGAGCACTGCTGCTGTGGCAAAAACAAAACAAACAAAAAACAAAACAACAACAAAAAACCCAACCCCAAAAATATAATGGTATTAGTCTGAGGTGAAATTAAATAAATGACAGCCGAATAATGTAAAAGAAATGGGAAAGTGTTAACATGTAGAATGTTATTTTCAGTATTTTTGTTGATATTTGGGAGGGAATCTCCCAAACAGTGCTCAGAGGGCCACTCCCAGTAATACCCGGCTATCTGAAGGATGCACCGGTGCTAGCCGCCTTCCTGCACCTCATAATAGGAGGATCGTATGGTGCTGGGGATCAAACCTGGGGCCACGCAGAAGTAAGGCGATTGTTCCTGAGCCCTGAACTTTCCTAAGGCCACCTGCAATCCTGTCATCTCTGCTGTGGACCCCCCTGTGCTGCAAGTGACTCCTGTTGTGCCATAGCCAGGTGTGTGGGAACACTGACTTTATGATGCTTGTTTAGCTCTGCACCAGAAAAGACGCACAAGTGCCATGATCAGGGGTGAGATGCCCTGCAAGCATGCATGTGAGCACTATAATTAAAGGAGTCTGAACCCTGCTGAGCACCACAGCAGGTGCGGTGATGTGGGTTCTCTGATGAGCACAACAACCATATCAGAAGGAGGGGAAGTAGGGGAAAGGTAATTGCCTAAAATATAAATACGGTGGGCAATTTAATATTTTAATACTTTAATTCTACTTTGCACACCTCTGGCCTAAAAGCTTAATATAAGATTGTTTAGAAGGGCAATCTTAATTAGGCCAACATTTTTCTGTAAGATTTTTAACTCTGGGTGGGCCAGAGAGATGGTATAGTGGGTAAGGCACTTGAACCAGGATTTCCTGGAATGCCAATATGGTCCCCTAAGCATGTTGAGAAATGATCCCTGAGTGCAGAGTCAGGAGTAATCCCTGAGCACTGCTGGGTGCACCCCTCCCCCGCCCCCCCCCAAAAGACACATTTAACTCTAGGACCAGGGATGTAAATGGGCATTCAAGAAAACTGCCTTGCATTTGTGAAACCCTGGGTTTGATTCCTTCACAACGGGAAAAGACATAACACCTAGTAATGTAGAAAGTCATCTCAAAAAAATCTTACTAAGACAATGCAGTGTGGTGGAACACTGAACACAGAAACAAGATCAATGGTTTCTTTTTCATTCATCTATATATTTTTTTCCCACGTTTTAACCAAGGTTATGTTTTTGACTAGTGCTTTAAATCTTACTGCCTCTCCAGAAATAGGAATGTTCTCATTTTTCTCTTTTATATTTGATTGTTTAGGAGAGAGTTCACTACCTATTTCTATTTCAATTTCTGTTGAGGTGGTTCTGAAATGAATATAGGGATGTTCACTTTAATGAGCATTTACAGTTACGTGCTACTTCTGCAGAGAACAATCCAAGGAGGGAAAAACAACACATTCTATTTTTGCTAAGAAGGTCTTGGGTGTGACCTTCTTAGCAAAAATAGAATCCCCAGGTGTGACCCCAAGAGGGTCACACCCGGTGATGCACAGGGGTTACTCCTGACTCTGCACTGAGGAATTACTCCTGGCGGTGCTTGGGGGACCATATAGGATGCTGGGAATCGAACCCAGGTTGGCTGTGTGCAAGGCAAATGCCCTACCTACTATGCTATTGCTCCAGCCCCCTAAACACATTCTTAAGTACAGAATGATTAAATCAAAGGAAGCTCTAAGTCCAAATGTAGTTAGATTTCTGTGTGAATAGCCTCATTTTTCCTACATACTAAGAACAAAAGCTTAATGGAGAACTACTGTACAGTCAGAAAATACAACATAACCTTTTTTATTTGTTGAAAGTCAAATACGAATCAATGAAGTGATTTGCCCCCGTACATTCACTGATTGCGGCTCTTGCCATCTTGTGGCATCCAGGCTCCGGGCTGGAAGGTTTTTCCAGTGCTGGAGGGAGCTGCTGACGGCTCTTCCTTGCCAAAGAATGGAGCAGAGGCATGTCCTTTAATCTCAGTTTCCACCGGTGGGCCCAAAAGATTCCCGTCGCTCTCTTGACTGAGGAGTTTTTCTTTTGCATAAAATTCTTTGCTTTTGATTCCAATTTCTTCTCTGTATTTTTTATTCCTTAATATTTCCTGCATGATATACAAATGGAAGAAATTATTAAATTTTCAGTTCAAGAATACCCAAAATGCAGAAAATAAAACAGCCCACAAAGAACGTGTTGTACATGATCCTTGCATTTAAATAATATACGTGCAGCCTGGCAAGCTACCGAGAGTACTTCGCCCGCATGGCAAAGCCTGGCAAGCTACCCATGATGTATTTGATATGCTAAACACAGTAAAGTCTCACAACGGAGACTTTACTGGGTCTGCTTGAGAAAATCGGTGAACAACGGGAGGACAGTGACAGTGACGTGCAGGACGTATTTGAAAAGCTACATTCTAGTTATTGGAATTAAACAGCTATCTTTGTTATATCCAGTAAGTGAAACCAACTACTTAGTATGAAATAGTGCACAAGAGAATAACAGCCATTCTGTCAAGAGTTTCTAAGTTTAACAGCTATTATCTGCTTTGGAACGACTCAACAATTACACTTTCACTGGGGATGAAGCAGAGGTGAGATGGTCTCAGGACAATCCTATCCATTTTCTTTGTAGAGACTCAAGTATCTAAGATCAGCCATCCCGGGCCAACACTACATCCTGGCTGTCCTGCTTTCTCCCCTAAAGTTCACAATGGTGGTGAAGGGAAGACAAAAGAGGAATTGGGGTTCCACATGCCTTAGGAACCAGTTCCAGGGGGACACTTGACCATTGGATGTGCTCGCTCATATCAGTGCAAGCCAGTTGTACAATGCAGTCTGGCCCTCAGGTTTGTTGTGCTGCTAAGCTCTATACCCTGGACTACAAAGAATCCGTTGCTCGGTTTCATTGAATACAAGACTTTCAAATCAAAGAAGCATCACTGTTCAATGCATCACCAAAAAAAAAAAAAAGAAAAGGCAATTAGACTCACATAATCTGATTCCACAGAAGTTAGAATTTTAAAGATGTGCATTTTTAGATGAAAAATCGTTTTAGTGTCTGTATTACCTTTCTCGTCTATCTTAATGATAATTGGGTGACTTTAAAAAATGGAAGTAGCGTTGCATTTTTAATATCACATTAAATTTCAGGTGTGCATCGCTGAAAATGTAATATGTGTACATACATTAAGTTCACCTCAGAAAGTATAATTCTCTCTTTTTTTTGGCCATTCCCAACAGAGTTCAGGGCTAACATGGCTCTGCTGAGGATACCATAAGCTACCAGGGATTGAATTGAGAATTCTTGTATGCACAGTATGAGCTCTGGCTGGTTATCTCTCCAGCACACAATTCTGTTCTCAGGGAAAAAAAAAATTAATGTTCTTTTGCTTATTATTTTTTCCTCAACAAATTTATAATATAAAAATGTATGTCAATGTAAATACTATATGACTATTGAAAAAAGTTCATTTAAGTGATTTACAAATTTTCAGTATTGAAAAATGACACTTAAAAGCAATATCTAAAAATTCAAATGCATAATGTAGCTTTTCTATTTCAAAAGTGTATTTCAAGTAATAATAGTTCTTTAATCTGTGAAAACTGGTACTTAAAATCATATTTAAATAATTGTACTTGAAGGGAGAAATGGGTTTAAATAGCCAAAGTAATTAGGTTTAACTGGTGTAAATGAGGATGAGATTAAGCCAAACTTTGCCTTACATTACCCTGTACAATTCTCAGGTGAGATGTCCATGTTCACAGAGGAATCTCAGAATGATGTTGGAAATAATGGAAATAGATAGAAATCCTTTCTTCATGTTCCACATTTCTCAAGAACCTCCATGAACTGCTGGGTCTTCAGGAAAGTTCTCTTCAGCTGAATAAAGGGTTGTGTAGACTTTATATCAGTACCATCACAAGCTAGCAAAAGCTACTAGGAATTGGTTTGTAGCTTTGGATAAGAGAACCAGTCACATACTCTGAGCTGCCTAGACTGACTTTGCTTCAGTCCAACTCTGCAACCTTACAGCTGGTATAAGCCCACACTGTCTGCATTAAAGAAAATGAAGGCCAGAGAGCTATTCTTTTTAACTACCTGGACATTGTTCCTCTTTAACAAGAGAAAATTGCCAAGCCAGATTCTTCTTTATATCAACTATTTATGCAAATACAAAGCCAACTTGAATGCTAATAATTTTAACATACTAAGTGGGATTAAAGATTTCAGAGTTGAAAAACACAAAAACTATCAAAAGAACTCCCTTTAAGATACACACACACACACACACACACACACACACACACACACACACACACACACACAAACCACACGAGCGCGCGTGCACTCATGCACACACAGCCTAATTGTTACCAGACCCCTGTTAACAGCTTCTAGGAAAATTAAACAGAACATAAATCATTTATGAAAGGAAATCTTGTTTTGTAAATATTTAGGATAGATAAAATGAAAGTAGATAGGTGGGGAAAAATAGGAATTTGTAGACTTAAATCAGTTTTGGAAAGTATTTTATAGCAGAAATATTCAACAATTAAAAAATACACGTTGTATATTATTTTATCGGTAACATTGTGCCACAATTTAACACCTCTTATTGCTGTTTTCAATATTTTGTTTAAAGAAATTTTAAAAGCACTGTGTGGGCCTGAGAGTACAGTGGGTGAGGTATTTGCCTTGTACACGGCTGACCCAGCACCCCACATGGTCCCCAGACCCATCCAGGAGTGATTCCTGAGCACAGAGCTAGGAGTAAGTCTTCAGCACTACTGGATGTGCCCCCCCAAACCAACAAAACAAAACACCGATGACCATCCATATAAATAGTTCTTTGACTCAACACAGTTTCCATTCTTCCATTCCAAATCCGCCTCTACTAGTTCTGACACAAAGGAGCTTTTTTTTTCAAAAAAATAAAAGTCTGTTTTCTACAAATATCTAGACCTCAATACTAACGCATATGCTGCCAGGTCTTCTGAATGTTCCTTGATAGTGGTGAGTTCAAGGCTCTGTGGCAAGAGCACCCGCATACAACCCCAGCTTTGCCATTTACCAGCTATGTGACCCTGTCAATGCTGCCTAATCTCCTGCGTCTCAGTTTCCTTATGCTTCAAGGTGACACAATACAGTTTTCTTCAGTAGCTGTTGTAAAAACTGCGAAAGAACTGTTGGTAGCCAAACACAGCAGAAGATTAGCAGGTGGATTATAGTAGTATTGGTTATTACATTATAGTCTATTACATCATAGTATAGTATTGTTTATTACATAAAAAAACAAACATACCATGGAGTAGTATTGTTTATTACATTATAGTATAATATAGTATTGTTTATTATGTTAAAAAAACCAAAACAGGGGCTGGAGCAATAGCACAGCGGGTAGGGCGTTTGCCTTGCACACGGTCGACCTGAGTTCGATTCCCAGCATCGCATATGGTCCCCTGAGCGCCGCCAGGAGTAACTCCTGAGCGCAGAGCCAGGAGGAACCCCTGTGCATTGCCAGGTGTGACCCCAAAAGAAAAAACAAAAACAAAAAAACAAACCAAGCATACCATGGAGCTGGAGAATAATACAAGTGGGTAGGGTGCTTGCCCTCCATGCAGCTGACCTGGTTTGATCCCCACCACCCCACATGGCTCCCCAAACCCCACCAGCCGTGGGTGTGGCCTAAGCACTGCTGGGTGTGGCTCCAGACCAAAACAAAATAACACACCAAACTTAGGGCCCCCACCTCTTTCTCATCTTGGTAGAACTAAAGTCTCAAGTGATTATACTTTTGTTTCAGTCCTTAAAATTTTGACTAATTTGGGGTCAGAGAGAGAGTGTAGTGGGTAAGACAACTGCCTTGAATGCAGCTGACCAGGTTCGATTCCTGGCCTGCCACAGGCTCCCTTGAGCACCACCTCTAGAGTGCAGAGCCAGCTGAGCATTGTCAGGTGTGGCCCAAACACCAAAAAAAAAAAAAAAAAATTTTTTTTTAAAAACTAATGTGTGACATACAGTTAGGGAATGTTTGTTGGACATGTTTTGTAAATAGCAGAATCCCAGTGTTAATTATTTTTCTTGTAGAAAAACTGACAAAATGATTAAGTTTGATGTTGTGAAAAAAAAATATGCGGTATTTTCAGTATTTTCAGTGTGTAACAGCTTCCAACCAAAGCAGCAACTTTTCTCCCTGGATTGAGAACAGGGGTGTTTGACATAATGTACCGCAATGAGAACAAGCAGAGTAACTGATGCCAGACCAGTATTCCTGCCCTAATTGATTATAAAATAGGACAAAAAGTTTTGGTTACTAAACAAAATGCAGAGCAGTACACTAATTCCCTGAGACAGGAGAGAAATGAAACAAGCCCCCAACTTTTTGTCTGCAGGCATTTTTGGCTGCTTTGGAGTGGGGGGAGTGGGGGGGTTCCCAAGCAGAGGCTGGCTATCTTATTGAGCAAAGGAGAGACAGGTTAGGAGGTGGAGGAAAATGGAGTTTGCATATCAGAATACATGGAGAAAGTTGTGGACACGTGCACTGGGACCACAGATGAGTGTGAACTGAATATTCAGCTGCATGTGAGTAGGATGAGACTTTGCAAGGCCAGGAAGAACAATTTGTGGCTAAAAAAAGAATTACTGTGGGGCTGTAAACTAAACAACTCTAGGACCTTGCCGAGTCATTCAAGTTCTGAACAGCTGGGACATCCAGTGTAAAAACTTCAGAGTAAGAATGAACTAACATGAATGAAGAACTAACTCTAGATCTGCACTGTCCACTATGGGAGCCACAAGCCACGTAATACTCACATTTGAGTTAAGACCCTAAAATTCATTTTCTCAAAAAAAAATTGCACTAGATACCAGATGTGACTAATGACTATCATACTGTAAAGTGCAGATATAGAACATTTCTATTAAACTCCTGTAGGACAATACAGCTCTAGATCCACCTAAAAACACTTAAGTAGCATGTCTCCAAAAACTTGGATCGATTATTATGCAAGTTAATGAAGTTAATGTAGTCTTTTGGGTCCATACCCAGCAGTGCTCAGGGAACCATATGTGGTGTTGGGGATTGAACTGGACTGTCTTTTC